GAGTTACTGGTACGCTGTGTCTAAGGAGTTACTGGTACGCTGTGTCTAAGGAGTTACTGGTACACTGTGTCTAAGGAGTTACTGGTACACTGTGTCTAAGGAGTTACTGGTACACTGTGTCTAAAGAGTTACTGGTACACTGTGTCTAAAGAGTTACTGGTACACTGTGTCTAAAGAGTTACTGGTACACTGTGTCTAAGGAGTTACTGGTACACTGTCTAAGGAGTTACTGGTACACTGTGTCTAAAGAGTTACTGGTACACTGTGTCTAAGGAGTTACTGGTACACTGTGTCTAAGAGGAGAGGTAGTTTTTCTTCTTCTTGGACAGTGCAGAGCGACAGATCTTGGTGAGGGCAGGGAGCAATTTTATCAACCACATTGCACAAAGGCGGAGCCATGGGGTGGCTAGTGGTGGCCTTGGGCCCCATATATTAATCTTTGGCCACCCAATCCTTTGAGGAAACTATACTTTTAAGCAATGTAAAAACTATAAAACATAGTTTTCTCAAATAATAGAAGTGTCGAGTTTACACACACATATATATATATATATATATATATATATATATATATATATATATATACATGTAGATGAACAGATGCTCTGATATATTCATCAATTAACGCGGATTCCTCATTTTTCTGAACTGAATAAAACGTGCATTGAATTTAATGAAATGCAAACGTGAGACGTCATTTATATTTGACCCATCAAAATGAATGCGGTCATTTATTTACAGAATCAAAGTTTAACATCAAACATTTACATTAATTTGGCAAATTATGAAAATAACAACATAATCAATCAATCAGGAAAAATCATACGGCCATGATTTTTCCGTTGCTTCACCACAGACATTTATGAAAACTGTACAATTATGATCTTTTACCCACACGGATGTGGATGAGCACTTTACACAGACATTTCTAAATATCTGGAAGAATTTCTACTTGAGAGAAAAGTTTCAAGATGGGAAAGGAGTTAAAGAAGAGTAAAAGATGGGGTTTGAGGGAGTGTGTTAACAGAACGGCACTCTCTGGGCTGTCTTCAGCTTTTCTTACGGTACACTTCGGTGGTGAAATCGACTCTTTTACCTGGAGATGTCTCAGGCGAGATTCCGTTTAACGCACCCTTCAGCGTCTCCGTAGGATGCTGTTACTCCTCCGGAGTAGCGGCGAGACTGTCCGACACAAGCTCACCTCAGTGGAAAATGTTATAATCCCATGAACCTCGGAAGAGCTCTGTTGTCATGTCAGGATCTTCCCGTCTCCCAGAACTGGGCTTCTCCGCACAGAACTGGACAGAACTGAACTCCACCGAACCGAGTGGAACCCTCCCAGCACTCCAGCAGAACTGAGTAGTTTACAGATCTGAGTAGACCAGGAAGTACCGACATTTTAAAGAGCTCTTTTTCCCGGTTCATACGGGAGTCTCCCATTGGCCAGAACCGACCAGACGGGGTGTGTTTTGTGACGTAAAAGGTTAGAATGCAGCAAGAATTGTTATGGAAAGATCAGAAATGTTCTCACAGACAGAGAGAGTTTTGTTTTGGCGCGTTTCAGAAACAGGTGCCAAAAC